CCCCCCCCCCAAAAAAAAAAATCGGTCGATCAACAGGATACGTCCCACACATCATCGTGTACCGCACAGGTCGAGGGAACCAGAGTAATCGTGCATGCATAATAGGACGAATGGGCTCACAGACCTAGTTCAACAAATGATGACCCACATTATGGGCAAACACAGTGCCATCACAGATTGAGGTTAGTCGATAGATGTCAGTCGCTGTGTTTAAGTCGTTCACCACCCGTTCCCGGACAAATTTAAACGTCTCAAATCGAAGGGATGCAAAAGATATTGGCGTATAGACCATGGTGATTCCTCATCATACTTTCGTTCTAATCAATGGTAATCTGATTGAACGTTCCTATTTCGGATTCTCATTCAAGTGCTACATAGATTCTCAACAATGGTGGAATCGGAAATAAACCAGAAACATTAGTGTGGTGTCATGCTTTTTGTGTGGAGTTTACAGTGAAGATATATTTGTGATACGGAGTTGGTTGCTTCGTTAATGACCATATTCGTAAGCTCCGTTGAGATATTTCATCCAAGCACCTAGAAAAGCCCAGTGGTGCATGCACACCGAATCCATTGCGTTCGGACCTCGGACTCAAGGTATTGCTAATCCGACACAGGAACCCCCAGAACCAGGCCAAATGATCTTTGGATAGTCACCACATTTCAACCGTACACGATACACTGAACATCCTTCACTAACGTCGAACTTCCCCAGACAGGGATGGGTTTTTCAGAAGCAGAGATTTGACCATTAAGAGAACAAAATGAATATTGTGTCGCTACTCAAACACCGCTGCCTATCCTGCATCGTGCGAGACCGTCAGGAACACCGGTAAGCAATGATGAGGTTAGGCACAGAGTTTTAGACAGTCACAGTGGCCCGGACTTCTATAGGCCGACGGCTCTACTCCTTCATCCAAATGGGCTTCCACAAGACAGCAACCAAAACAGCCACAGGGAAGCTCGTGGTTAATGGCTGTTCAAACTGAAACTCTCTGAACCAATACTCCCTAGTAGGATCTCACCGCCACTGAGTAGGAATTTGCACCTGCAAGGCATGAATGAATCAGTCAATTCAGTTCGATCGGTATGATAGGCTGAGACATAATTCAGAACTATAGACGATACAGTTTGTCGTTTTCTCTTCAGTGAACATCGCAGTAGACTACAGTAGACTTTCGTTCTATCTATAGTTGATTATTTCCGTGTATGAGTGTATTGACAGTAGGTTGACAGTAGGTTACAACAAACGCAACTGGGGTATACCGGAATGCAGTGTGCACTTTATTCGGCCAAGGTCACCGTACTACTCCGACAGACAAAATGTGACTCAATGGATTTGTGCNGCAGTTCTTTCAAGGTCATAACTGGCTCTTGTTACACAGAAACAGTGCGCTTGTTCATTGGTGAATGACTCACTGGACTGTGCATGCCCGGAAATGGATGGTGATTGATGGAAATTATTTTTCGTCTAAACATTAGTTTATAATTAAGGCCCTTTTATTTGTGACACATACTGTAATATATGATAATACACCACAAACAATCAGTTGACATGAGAGAAGTAAATTGAGCATTTGATGGAATGATTGACAGACTCGGACAGTAATATAAGATATCAGTTTACCTGAAACCATGTGTACTTTGGAGACAGCTCCCCCATCCATACACCGGATAACAGCTCCTGACAACACGGATGTGCCATAAACCGGATACAGCGACCACGAGCGGCCAAACGAATTGCAGAACTACCTCCGTAGAATTCCAATTTTCGACACAGTAGGAGTTGGGTTCGAACCCTATCTTCTTGATGGCATTCCTCCAGTACTTCCTCAGCTTTCTCCTCAAAATTACTGCGCCCGGTGATTGCAAACAGGGAAGTATTTTGTAGAGTTGGTGATTGGGCAAACGTTTTACTCATTATGTCAGACATGACTTATTTGATGTTAACTTCAAGCAAGACGTCAAACAAGGAACGTACAATTTTGTTTTTAACAGATTCCACATATTCATTCTCCTATCTACCATTTAATAGTCCCACTAGTACTGGATTGTCTCTGTGGGTTGAGAGAGATAAGTCAGCCTAAGGAGAACTCGTTCGGTTGCATGATAGACGTACCATTTGGCTGGACAAAGTGCATCGTATGCAGAGTCAATATTTCCAAACTCGACTGAAATATTCATATTCCACTCCATTTGTACTTTGTGTACTGGTTCAAAATGCCTTCTAAATGCGATCGAGAAGTAAAATGGGTCCGTGGAAAAGGACCGGTGAGATAGCTGTCTCCTGACTTAACGAATTTTTGTTTTGGGACCTTACATAGCTTTTGATTCCTCATTCAGAATGTGGTTGCTCCGTGTCAACTGCATCCTGAGACAATCAACCTCTGACTAGAGAGGAACAGTAAAGCCGCATTTTACAACTAGGCAATGCAAAGAAAATAAACGCTTTTTATGTATCTTGAGAGGTAACAAATTGGTCTCCTTGTCCCCTTCTTCCTCATTCACCATGTCTAGGCGCAATATTGACTTACCGCGCAGCTTCCTCGTACTCCTCTTTGTTGGCCACATCGTCCGACTTGCTGGCCAATTCACTGAACAGAATTGATGCAACCAGTGCTGAGGCGATCGGTTCCTGGAAATGCAAAGATGGTTCGGGAGTACAGAAAATAGACACAGCCCGGAACAAGAAGACGGCGCATAATGCGCCATTCGGTTCAAACATAGTCTTAGAAATTGATAGATGTGCTGAGAACGTACAAAGTTTAAATCACCTGATCTGGCTCATCATTTTTCAAACTTAGTTGTGCCTAATCTCCAAGTTTGCATTAAAGTATGCCCGACTTTCTAGTGGTTGACTATCTTCATTTTTATGTTGTGATTGGGGAAAACTTCAGTAGCGTCGGTGGGATTCAAACCTACACATGGACGCCACCTAAGACAATGTTAATTGTGCAAATGCTTGATTGAAAGATTAAAGTTTTTTATGCTGGGATTGCGAAAAGTTCATTTTGATCACGGAAAGATAACTCCAGTGACAGTTTACAGTGTGAGTGAAATAACGTGCAGTCACTGTGTTTGGAAGGCGAAGCGAATTTATCCATGAAAGAGAACGTTTGATTTGGGTGAATTAAGTTTGCTTACAAACCAATAGTCCTAAAGATTATTAAGTTCGTACGCAACTTTGTAAATGTTTCACAAGTCATACTGATAGTGCTAGAGGGTTGACTTAGTACAAGTTGGGGGTGAGCAGTTAACAAGTCGCACACCTCGTAATCATCCCCCAACTTTTGTGTGCACCGGACGAAAGGGTTCATTGTCTTCAACCACATTAAGTTTCTCCATTCTATTCACGATAAGGGGAAATCGATCAGAGAGGATTGGTTTAGGAGAATTTCCCGAGCTTCACATTAATGTTTGCACACTTTTCTTACTCATGCTAGGTCACAGAATCAGTGCAGTTTTGGGTAACCTTTAATCCACAGTTTGGCCAGGGTTTTGTAGTTCTGTTTAAAGATCGTCCTTGTCCGATTGTGTCCCTCCAATTCGATTGGCCAATTTTATCTGCCACTGTTATTTTATTTTTTGTTTGTTGCTGTGGCGACCTCTTTCTCTATTGGTCAGCTTCCTCTCTTGGACAGACCCCAAACTTGGTTAAAACCGATGTGAGCCGGTTTCAGACTGATTCAAATCGGATTTTATATGGAGTCATTCCGAGGTATCACAGCTTAATTGTGTGGTGTTAAATGTGTTCTACTTCTATACGCTCGCTCATAATTCTGCATCCATGCTTCAGTGGATTCCTCGATCGACTTTATGGTGTCACTTTAGATTGTTTGTATTTTTCATTTCAAAGACGCGATTTCCAGCGTTCATGGGAATTGAAATTTGCGTCTTCATGTCATGTCTTCTGACAAACAGTGCATGTGTTTGTGACTGGTTTCCGACTGATTTGTCCGACACAACATTTTTGGACATTTTAATTTATAAATCACGTTTGAGGATTTTTTTTCAGTTATTCTTCTGAACTTGATCCGACAGCTTTTCCTGTTGCCGTTGTCTTGTATGGAACCTAATGTTTGTAACAATCTGACTGCCATCTCCGAGACTCCTAGGATATATGCTAGTGTTGATGCACTTATCTTCTATTGTTCTTCTGGTTTCACATTTGTGGTTCCTTATTTATCCTCGCCCTGGTACCTCTTCCGTGAACATCACAGGGTGAAATCGTGTGAGCTTCAGTTGTGCTGAAAAGCCTCAACTAGATGAGCTTCCTATATATCTTAAAATAAAACGGCCCTGCACTGTCTTTGCTCGTCTGAATGTTATTCGTGTGCAGATTGCGTTGTGTGCTCGTGCTTGGTTACTCTGGAAGTTCGCCATCCGATTCGTGTGATTTGGTCTTTGGTAGACCCTGGTTTCCAATTTCTCCGTCTTCAGTTCGCTTCAACCAATATTTCCAGGAAACGTAGTTAGGTAAGTAGCTGTTCCTCCCCCCGCAAGTGAATTCGATTCCGGTGAACATATTGTTGGCCCAGTAGCGCGTCTCTTACAGATGATTATAGACAAATGTCAGCCACCAGCTCGCAATTTCGGTTTGAAGATTGAAATTTCAAGGGTCTCCAATTTCTGTATAGCTGCTTATGCAATGAGTTCGGCAGTTAGTGATCCGCTTGGGATGCCCTGTATATGACCATGTTATGTAGCTCTCCGTCGAACTGTAAATGTATTGACAGACGTAAGTGCCAGAAATCCATAAAGCTTCCTGAATCGATTCTGGTCGCTGATTTTTTTCATTTTCGGTGCTAATCAGATCTGTCATTGTTGGTTTGGTCAAGTTAGTGTTCCTGGTAGCATTATCATCTGGCATAAGGGAACATTCGGTTTACGTACTTTATAAGGTCCATAAAAAATAGGTATAATGCTGTCCTCCGGCATTCGTGCGTTATACGGTTCTTGTTTTTCCAACTCGCTCAATTGTTTAACAATCCTGTTCTGTCTTTTTTAATGGATCCATTTCAGTACGTCGGCGCGTGGAGACGTAGATCTTGTGTCTTGTTTATGCAGTCCGTCTTGGTGAGTACCAAAGTCAATCTTCTTTTGTATACCTGCAGAATGATTTAATTTTTGTCTCGTTTCAGGATGTCCAAAGCTTTTGGTTCTGTTGGGTTAAAAAAATTTTTTATTTGCTCCTGTTCAAGGTATCAATTAAATCTTGTCTTTGTAAGAAAAAATTCATAAAACAAAATAAAGCTGCAAACTATACGCCATTTCTCATTTACTTTTGACTCCTGATTGCCAATATATCATTTTACTCATTGTGACATTAACTGGGAGCAGCGGAAGTCATTTTTGCATCGGCTTTGAAGTTGAACGATTGATAAAATGAGGCACATTTTCTACAGTTTAAAAAATATCAGAGAGCGGTTTGGTAAGAAGATAATCAAACCTGGTCCTGTGAGCAGCAGATTGGTGAAAGATAGTAGGATAATCATAACAAAATAGTATAATGGTAAAATCGGGGTTTTGAATTCAATTGAATGCTGTCGAAATACAAATGGAGAATGAAGGCTATTGTACACTTACATATACGAGGACTATGGGCAAGAGGAGGAGGATAGAAGACAGCGTAAAATCGCGTACCATGTACACCATCCATGTTTCGAAACCGTTGTTAACTCGTGATAGAAGAGTGTTCTAATGTCAACCGCAGCCAAAACGCTCAAATGAATACAATCCAAGACTAATGTCGAAAAGCTGCAAATACAACTACTTCACTCATCTCAGTATCGATAAATTTAAGGAGATAGGATCCTCGTGTATTAACTACTGGATCAGCCTAATCAGACGTGTAGGAACCAGAGGAAATTCCTTTTCAAACGATTTTTCATAAGAGTAGCCCATATATTGTTTGTATTAGTCTTCTGGTAACAGGATGAGTACTGCCGGGAACTCTTCCATCCCAAACATCGATTTGTCCAAGTTGTGACTCGATGAAACATCGGACTGTCCAATAGAAGCGAGTGAAAGTGATTAATAATTATGCGATTATGTCACTTTTACTACCATCGTAATACAGTGTGTGGGGTTCATTAATCTGTAACTTTGCCATTTATCCAGAATATTAATTTGAATTTGACCACCATAAAAATCATTTGTTTTCATAATCAATATACTGCAGTTCATTAATCTCCCATGAAACTCAGCTAGAACATCTATCAGGGGAACTAACGAACTGTATTCTGACAAATTGAGCTATCTTGACTGAACATGTTAAGTCAAACTTGGCAGCTGCTTCACAATTAGTTGGTTATAGCCATACAAGACACAAATTAGTTTGCTTCACCTCTTGATTTTTACTGGGAGATCCACAAAAAATGATTTTCACCTGCAACGGATGATCGGATAAGGATTGGCGTGCACGTGAAGAAAATCACCTTCTGATACCAGCACCTGCCCCACTCGAAACAAAAACAATTCTTAGTGAACAGAAATAATTGATCCCATTGGGGGGAGGGGTGGATTGGGAGAAATAGACTTACCTTTTCATAACTCCAAAACACCTCAGCCATCGTCAGTTTTCCCACCAGAATACACATGACCATTATTTCGCGTGCAGGTCGCTCAAATGTGACTGTCGACGTGTGCGAGAAATCTATTGTTGGCGGAAGAGGGCAAAAATGGGCAAATGATGGACCCGATGTGAACAATGTGAGTCTCTTCATTTGGTTGGATTATTTTTGCCCATTCCCCTTGGGTTTCGGGATGATGTAAGCCACAATTACACCAAAGTTGAAATCAGTGTCATACTGAACAATGGTAAAAATGAGAAACGTTACGTTGGTACAAAGTGAAGGGTTCTATAGTTCATTTATTTTTTTATTAAACTGACCCATAGCTTGCATAGCCATGTCTGGTAATAAAAGTGATACAGCCAGTTTTTCCTTCAAACTGGACCCTATGGTGTAACTCTCTCTCTTTCTGATTTCATCCCTCATGCAATAATTTAAGTCAAATATTTCCTGATAGGATCGATCCTAAATTCATGTTCAGACGGAGGAGGACTTTCAAGTAGTGCATTATCGACTAGATGAACAGAAGAATGCGAGTGGTGGTTAACTTTAAATGACGGACAATCGATATTAGTGATCTCATTAACTTCCGAATTTGTGGTGCTTTGAGATCGATGCTGCCGAAGGTGTAGGACCATTCTGGATGGTTTTTCGTGACCGAGTTCTGTCTCTGCACACTAATTTCAACTGACTTCTGGTGAATTTTGTCCTATCTGAATCGAAGATTTCCTAATGAAAATACAAAACTAGTACAGAGCCAGGTGCTCAGTACTCAAATCACACATACACGCGGTGAGGAATTTGAGTATACACGACCTATAGATCGGTCAAGTTTCTCAAGTTTCTCACGATTTGACAACGTGATTAGGATTTACAGATAGTACCTAGATGCGCTACTCCTGTAAGTAAAAAAACACCCTAAATGAACCGCAACCGGTTTATTGTTTTTCATTGACGGGCTCTGACACAAATGATACGATGATATCACAAAAAAATGAATGCGCATCGTTCCATATGTCCTCTTAAAGTGAACTCCGATGCAGACAAGTAGAAAAAATTACAGGCCGAGGACGACAAAAGCAGTTCCCAAAAATGCACCGTCATAACTACATACCATCAGTTTATTCACGCCGCAACATTGGACGTAATTACGACGGTCGACTGTTTAGCATACAATTGTCACACCCTTTCATTTCTTAACCAAGCTTTACCGCATCAACATTTGTAGAAAACAAAATATCTCAGCATTCATTGACCCTAAAATATTCCAACATTTTTTGATCTAACTCGTCTACAGCGATATGGCTAAAGTCTGTGCGTCTAGGCTAATGGTCTACGGGTAGAGGCTAAAGGATTGCGGATTTTTGGCTAAAACTTGATGAGAAAAGGTCTAGTGAGCCTAACCAGGGACAAAACAGCTAGTCCTCGCTCTATTTTTCCACATACAAACGGGTTCTTTCACAAAGGAGCCTCTTAACCATCAAATCGAGTCAGGTTGTCCTAGGGTATTTCTCGCCTAGCCTGTAGAGCTTGCGCTACAGTAACGATTACCGTATCACCGTACGAACACGTTGTTTCGATGAGCGATGAGCGATGCGCCTGAGGTTAGTTGAACAGGCTTTAACATAGGCGCTCAAAATACCAAAGAAACTAGTTGCAAAGTATTTGAGCAAAAAAATCCACCCTGTTCCACCGTTGTTCGCTCCGCGGAGGTCGGAGGATGACTGGTGTAGTACCTAAATTACTGTTTAGTAGTCTGAAAGCTGACTACGGGTCAAAATTAACGTGGCTGGTTGGCAGACAGGCAGATCTAATCCGGTGAAAATACATAAAACACTCGAGTTCTCCGCTCAGTGTTCTGCTCTCTATACACATCAGGATTAAAACGTTTTTCAGTTGTTTGTATTAGATAGACCCTATTGCTTAATCTTGTAAAGATACTAGTCGATTCAACTTGCCAACCAAATTTCACTAATCCAAATCTCGAATATATAACAAACTGTGTGTGTATGTGAATGCATGTTCAACTTCAATCATAGGCATTAACTTTATCAATCTCTGTTTATTTTGTTGTGAAGAACTAGATTTTTGAGACGGAAATCTGCGGGTGTCAACAGTGACAAGTGCAGTATCCATCCAACAAACTTACTTGCTAACTTGGCTGGTTTAAGTTCTTCCAGTCCTGAAAGAGGGAAAGACAGAGAGAGAGCATCAGTCACTGTGAGTAGTACAAGCTAATCCGTATAGAATGACTGTCTTAACAAGGATTGGTGGAACATGTGAAACTGGTCTTTAGATTATATCTCAAAGCTATCCGACCCTGTCAATATAAACAATTTGATACACCACAAAACGAAGGGGAGCATAATTTTAAATTCCGTTCAAAAGATTTTTTCTCTCTTCAAATTGCATGTCTATGGACGTTGTTTTCGAGAGGGAGGGGGGAATATCAAGCCAATATTTGCCAAATTTTCCACGGTGAGGGTAGTGGTGTGTCTGCAGAGCTTAATAATCGATCACGGAACTACGAGCTATTATAATTGGACGACAGTATGGAAGTGGTATTGGCTGCCATCCCATCGGCCTGCAGGTCGTGGATGCGAACCCCAACA